GGGGGCGGTGCAGCGCCTGTGCCCCGTGTCCGTGGGAGCCCGAGATCTGCTCCCCGTGTGATCGCGGCCGCGGGTGGGCTCAGCGCTGCGGTGTCCCGCTTGGTCCCGGCCCTGCTGCGCTCTGGAGCACCCCTGGGAGAGATGGGAGGGGCGGGGACCAGCAGCCTCCCCCGGGGCTCCTGCGTGGCCGGGAGAAGGGGGCGAGGGAGCCCCAGCTGGGAGGAAAAGCGGAAGGAAGGGGCTGGGAAAGGGGCAGAGGGAACCAGGTCTGGGCAGCCGGGGACCCCGAGGGGGGAGTGAGAGCCCCTGTGAGGTACCGCTGCCCCCTCCCATGGTGAGAACAGTCCCCGGCCTCCCCCTTTCTTTAGAGAGCAAGTGTCCAAAGCTAGGATCCCTCTTTCCTCTCAGATCCTTGAGAAGTTCTGTCTCCCCCTCCCTCCCTGGGTGTTCCCCATTTTCTCTCCCCATCTCCAATGCCCAGTTTGAATCCTTCTGATTTTGGGGTGCTCCCAACCCCCATTTTACCTACAGTGGTTTGTCCTGGGTTGGGTGGGAAATTTGGTCCCAGAGAGATTTCTGAAATGGGAAGGTTGGGGTAAGGGGAGTCAATCAGTTATGAGGCAGATATGCTAGGGCCTGGAAGGCATAATCAAGGATGGGGGCAAAGGAGCAGGCTGGGGCTTGGGAAGCTCAAGGTGAGGTGATACTAGTGGGTGACAGAGGGCAGTCACTGTTTCCCTGGTGGATTGAGACACCAAAGTTTGCAAAAATAGGGATCGATGGGGTGGGGCTTTTTAAAATAAAGAATCGTTCATCAGTGTATCTACTTAATGCAGTGAGCGGCAACCTAGACTGCATGAATGGTTCTTCATCACAGTGGCCTGCAAGAGTGTCATAACTAAGACGGTTTCATGGAAGCGGGCAGTTTTGCTCACAGTGTGAGTACCTAGAATTCGCAGGGGTGCCAATTGAACCGTAGCAGGGCTTTGACTGGATGCCGAGGAAGCACTCAACTCTCACAGTCAGTGTGTGCTGATATCACCCACCCTTGCTGTACTCATGTGTCCCTTTTGTAATGTTGATAGGGGAAAAAACTATATGGCTGAAAACCAGCAGGATCTGACAACATTGCATGGGAGCAATGGTGAAGAAAACATCTCTCAGGCCGCACATAGCGCCCTCCACTGGCATAGTCTCATAGCAATTTAACGTCTATACCAATGTTCCTTCTAGTCTTTTCCATCCATGTGTGGAATACATTTTGTTTTGTGCACTAAGGCATGTGAGTGTGCACCACTGCTAGAAACAAAACCCCCTAGTTGTGGACCCTTTGTTCATGTATAAGTATAGACAATATAAGTCTTATGCTGTAGAGCCCACAGTGTGTGTAGCTGCTAGGATTTGTAATGGTCATGCAGTTATTTTAACATTTTTTTACATCCCTAGAGGGGGGTTGGAATAAGGTCACTGTGAGCTTCACAGCATGACAGAACCTAGATCAGCGGTGGGCAACCCTGCAGCCAATGGGCTACATGTGGCCTGTTGGGGTTCTATGTGCGGACCACCAAACATGTTGTTTACCACTGCCTACATGCAGGGTTGCCAGATTCCGCTAATTCCCATCCACAGAGTTTTTTCTGATATGACACACATGTAAAGTGAGGGCTTGTGAAGTGAGGTGTGGGCTGATTGCACACAACATTGTGAGAGTCGTGCGCTCCCCCTGCATCCAATCAAAGCGCCACTACGGTTTAGTTGGCTCACCCTGCAAATTCTAGGTACATCCGCGCCGTAACCAAAACTACCCTCTCCTGGGAGACCATCTTGGTTACAACAATCTTGCTGCCCATTGAGATGGGGGGGCCACTCATGTGGCCCACTCACTAGCCTGTGTTTCCCATCATTGACCTAGAATGCCCTTTTGCAGTGGAAAAGCCTAGTGGGGAATTGTGTGGAATAGACAAAAGCCCCTCTGAATTCTCTCACATGGCCCTTCTCACTCTGGCAGGCTACAGAATAACGTCTATGTTTTGCTCCCGACTATCCTGTCCATCTGGGGGGAAGGAAATGGCTGCGGTGGAGCTGGCTCAGGTACGGGTTTATCAGGGAGCTGGTGGTGGGTTCTGCTTGCAGGGAGAGTAGCTCTAAATGCATAGGAGAGTAGATGGCAGAAAATATCTAGAGTGGAGAAAGTGTGTGGAGCAGAGCAGGATGTGACAAAGCTACTCAGTCTTGTGTGATCTGAAGCCTAGTTTCAAGAAACACAAGCTGGGAGAGGAATTTTTCCTCTTTGTGCAATAGGAAATAACCCTGTAAGGCTGTGGTTCTCAACTGGTGGTCCATGATGACTTTTTCAGTGGTCCACAGGAACATTGTCCAAAGTCACACAGAATGAGCAGGTGCCGCCATTAGGCTGTTTTACGCCGTGTTCACAAGCATGCGTCGCATCATCCATAGCATCACCTAGGACGCAACCATGTTGTGTTGCCAGTAACTTCTGTCTGAGGCTCTGAGCGTCATTGTAGCTGCCGCCGTCGTGCTGAGCGGTTGCTGTGTTGTTCATCCTGTGCTACATGTGTTGGAGGTGGTCCACGAAAAGTTTTCGATTGGCCTGGTGGTCTGTGGACTGAAACGAGTTGAGAACCTTTGGGCTGTGTCTAGACTGGCAAGTTTTTCCACAAAATCATCTGCTTTTGCGGAAAAACTTGCCAGCTGTCTACGCTGGCCGCTTGAATTTCCAGAAAAGCACTGACGATCTCATGTAAGATCGTCAGTGCTTTTCCGGAAATACTATGCTGCTCCCGTTTGGGCAAAAGTCTTTTTCCGAAAGACTTTTGCGCAAAAGGGCCAGTGTAGACAGCACAGTACTGTTTTCCGCAAAAAAGCCCCGATCGCGAAAATGGCGATTTGGGCATTTTTGTGGAAAACCGCGTCTAGATTGGCCACGGACGCTTTTCCGCAAAAAGTGCTTTTGCGGAAAAGCATCCTGACAATCTAGATGTGCTTTTCCGAAAATGCTTTTAACGGAAAACTTTTCCGTTAAAAGCATTTTCGGAAAATCATGCCAGTGTAGACGTAGCCCTGCTATAAGGGCTTGGAAAACTTCCCAGATCCCCTGTGCTGGAGCTTGGATCTACTGACACTTCATTATTTACTACACCCCCAAATCTTTGTATCAACTCTAAACTGTATCAGTGAAGATTTTACATTCTCTTCCAAGTCTTTGATAGTTCAGGGCCAAGAACCAGTCCCTGAGGGAACCCACTAGAAATACATCCACTAGATCATGTTTCCCCATTTATAATCCTAAATTGAGGTCTATCATTTAGCCTGTTTTTAATCTATTCTGGGTTTATTTTGTGTCATTCTAGTTATTTAATCAACCTTCTGACTTGCATTCCTTTGCCATTGACTTCCATATATTTTACTGAGAGGGTGTTGGGAAGGGATTTCTTCCAGGGGGCTGTTTGCACCCTGCTGGAATCTCCATCTTCTGACTCCGGCTCTGGCTAGTCAGCATGTGATGAATGTAAAGCCCCTGCTTCCCTTTGTCAACTGGGAGAGACAAAGTTTCTCTCTTTCACCACTTCCCTCATGCCTCTTCGCTGCTTGGGGTTGGACTCTGAACATCTGGCTCCCAGAACTTAAATTTACCTGGCCCTCCTCTCCTGAGAATAATGGAACAAAATACAGGACTATGTAGCACTTTAAAGACTAACAAGATGGTTTATTAGATGATGAGCTTTCGTGGGCCAGACCCACTTCCTCAGATCAAATAGTGGAAGAAAATAGTCACAACCATATATACCAAAGGATACAATTTAAAAAATTGTTTTTAAATTGTATCCTTTGGTATATACGGTTGTGACTATTTTCTTCCACTATTTGATCTGAGGAAGTGGGTCTGGCCCACAAAAGCTCATCATCTAATAAACCATCTTGTTAGTCTTTAAAGTGCTA